TTTTAATACCTTGTATTCTTCATATTAATGTGTGATTGGAGATTTGGAAATTTACAACAAAGAAGTTTGGAGGATTTCTACAGTTTATGCAAATAAAGAAACTTATAAAAGAATGGAGCATTGGAATCACTTGGAGTACTATATGTTAAATGATAAGCCTTCTGTAGTGGGTGGTGATTGTAACCGCCTATTATCCAAAAATGATAAGAGGGGAGGGAGAAGATTTATCTTTTCCCAAGGACCTAAGGAAATGAAATTCTTCTTTTCTAATAATGATTATCATGAAGTGGATTTTATTGGACCAAAGTACACTTGGTGCAATAACAATTCAGGTGGAGCATATATTTTTAGAAAGATTGGACAGATGCTTTGTCAATTCGGCTGCTGTTAAGTCTAATCCATTATTGGCGGTTCATCATCTTCCTAGAGTGGCATTAGACCATTGCCCCATTGTGTTGAAACTTTGGAATGATATTCCGAAATCAAAGGGCATCATCAAGTTTGAAGACACTTTGGCTTCTCATTATGCTTCAGCTGCTATTGTTTAAAAGACATGGAATAAAAATATTGGTGATGCTTACTCGGACATTCTCGACATAAAATTTAAGAGGGATTTAAAAGCTCTTTTTTTCTGGAGCAGGGAAAAATTGAAAGACCTCAATCTATTGAAGGACAATTTGACTAAGGAGATTTTAGAGTTGTAAATGTAGGAATCTTCAATTGGAAATCTTTCAGTGGAAAAGATCTAGGTTCTTAGATAAAAAATTAATGAGCTCAACAGTACTTTAGCTCGGCTGAGCACTTGGTGGAGACAAAGAGCTAAGGTAAAATGGATAAAAGATGATGATTTGAATACTAAGTGTTTTCATTCTTTTGTTAATGCTAGAAGGAATGCAAAACATATTTTCAAGATTAAAGATGCGAATGATGTTTTGGTAGAAGATCAATTTCAATTTAAAAACATATTTTCAAATTCTTTCAAACAAAGTGGGAATATATATCTTGCTCTTTAAACAATTGGCATAACCCGAGAGGTATAATGACAGATTATGATAGAGAAGTCCTGAATACCGGACTTACTATGGAGGATGTTTTAGCAGCTATCAATCAATTGAGGGAGGTGTTTCACCAGGTGTGGATGGTATTACTCATTCATTTCTCAAATCTTATTGGTTCATCATTAATTTGGATTTTCGGAATGCTTTAAGACGTTTTTTCTCTATGGGTACAATGGAAACCAATTGGAAAGATACATTAATTGATTGTGCTCATTCCAAAGGTGGACATGTCCAATGATACTTTCAAATTTTAGGCCAATAAGTTTATGTAAAACTATTTATAAACTTGTGGCTAAGATTCTTCTCAATAGATTCATTGCTATGCTTCCTAATCTAATTTCTAAAAATTATTCAACTTTCATTAAAGGCCATTCCTTATCAGACAATGTCTTAATTGCTCAAGAATATTTCATACATTCAGATATTCCAAATCATCAAAAGGATTGGTTTCATTCAAGATAGATATAGAGCAAGCATATGATAGCATGTCTTGGAGAACTTTGGAGCAGATTTTGATATACTTTGGCTTTCCTGTACACTTTTCAAAACTTATTTTGGAATGTGTAGAAAATTCAAGATTCTCTATTCTGATTAATGGGAACTCTTCAAAGTGGATCTGTGCTAGTGGATTTCGTCAAGGTTATCCTTATCTCCATTTCTCTTTGTTTTATGTTCCCAACTTCTATCAAAAGCTTTAATTCAAGAGGAAAATGAGATAGGGATTAAAATTCACCATAATGCTCCTAGGATATCTCATCTGCTTTATGTAGATGATACCTTATTTTTTTTTAAGCTAATATGTTGGTAAAGAGGATTAGTGGTATTATATTGGATTATTGTAATTGGTCAGACCAAAAGATCAATTATAATAAATCTTCTATTCTTTTTGGGAAAGCTGTGAGTAGAAGAAGGAAAAAAGAGTATTGCATGAGTAATGGGATTTAAATCTGTTAACAAATTCTATTACTTGGGAGTTAAGATTGCTTTGAGAAGAATTATAGCATCAAACTTCAATTTCATGTTGGAAAAAGTTATTGGAAAGTTAGATACTTGGGGAAGTAAATTTATTTCTTTATCATGGAGATTTACTCTTGCAAGATCTATTATTTATTAATTCTGGTGTTTCATTGCACTCATTCCCTAATACCGGTTAAAGTTTTGGTTGAAATTGATAAAGCTTGTAGGATTTTATCTGGCACAAGAAGGAGAATGGAAATGGTTTACATTTCGTTAGTTGGGAATCTTTGTGTAAACCATATCATTTAGGAGGACATTGGCTTCATTCTTGTGTGAGAAAGGTGGATGCTTTAAGAGCAAAAATTGCATGGAAGTTTATGAATGAAGAAGACTCCTTTTTGCATAAATCTTTGAAACCTAAATATGGCACATCATGTTGGATTCCTGATTTTAAACAGAATATGTCTATTGCTTGGAAAATCATTTTGAGTGGTGCAAAGGCTCTTAAACTAGTTGTAAGATGGAAAATATCCAATGGGGAAAATGTTAATGTCATGGAAGATGTTTGGGTATTAGACAAAAGCTTTAAGCAAGTGGCCTACTTTTCTTGCTAATCTACATAGTAACGAGTTAACAGTAGATTACTTTGTTAGAAACGGTGGTCGGGACATGGAGAAGCTTCATCAGGTGTTTGGAGAGGAACTGATAGAGATTATTTGTAAAATTCAGAAGCTTCATCAGGTGTTTGGAGAGGAACTGATAGAGATTATTTGTAAAATTCAAATTGATCTGGTGTGTCACAAGGATCAAATGGAGTTGATTCTTCAGAATTATGGAAAATCATTGGCGGCATTATCATTTGAATCTATTGTATCAAATTCAAATATGCAAAATTACTGGCCATGGATTAAATAAATCAAACTTAATCCAAGGATTGAAGTTTTTTGGTGGAGATTATATCATAAAGCTATTCATACTTTCCAATTTTTGGAATATAGAGAAGATTAAAGGAGGGGAACTCATGTCCTAGAGGATGTATGAAAATTGAAGATATTGCACATGTGGCGGTGACTTGTGATAAATTGATTCAAATTGTGAAAATTTTGAATCAACGGGGCTTTCAAATTCCTCTTTTTGAGAATCTTGTTGAATGTATTTGTTGGTTAGAACACAATGCTACTACAAATACCTTTCTTGCTAATGTTTATTGTGCTTCTGTGTTTTTTTGTTGGAAGTCTAGAAATAGACTTATTCATGAAGGTAAGGAAGATAGTAATTTAAATATTGCTTCTAATGCTCTTGGAATATCTTCTATTTCTATGTCCAATAGAAATAATTCGGGCTTATGGTTAATAAATGTTGGCATCCTCCTCCACCCAATTGGATCAAAATCAATGTTCATGCTTCTTTGTTATCTTCTTATAAAGCTAGAATTGGAGCTGTTTGCCGAGACCATAAAGGAATGTTTCTCTTGTGCATTTGGTTTCAACTGTATTCATTGGGATATTGCTTTGCTTGAAATGGAAGCTATTTTCTTTTTAAAAGGTATTATTAAAGAATGGATGACTCAATACAAAGGTATTATCTTTGAAGGAGACAATGCAAATGTAATTAAAAGCATTCAAAATAACATCAAGAGGATGAGCTTGCATGAACCGGAGTTTGGTTTAGATTTTTTTTTTCATTTGTCAAAGAGTTTAATTATGAGATTTTCAATTGTGTGACTAGGGATTGTAATAAATTAGCGAATTGTTGTGCTAACTATGCTATTAATGGTAACTTTATTTGGGATGATATTAGTTTGGAACACATTCCTCCTTTGTTCTTTTGTTAAAGGAGGAATGTGATGATATTAGTTTGTATTAGGTGATTTTTCTTTTAATGCTATTGCTTTCTACACTTTCAAAAAAAAAAAAAAAAAATAATCATCACCCTAAAGTGACACTAATAAGTTGTTGCCTTCACAATAAATATAATATAAACCCTATATCAATAAGTTAGGATTATTAGGGAGTTTAAGCCTTTGAGGTCGTGTGATATATAAGAGAATATGTAGGATAGTTTTAAAATAAGTTGGATGCATTTTTGCATTTAGGGAAGCAAAGATTGGGTTTATGTAGGGGATAAGAGTTGGTGAAGAGGAATAAAAGTGAGAAAAGATAATTGAAGATTCACCACAATCCTAGGATATTATTCCACTAAGCTTCACCAAAGAATAGATCAGTCATCCAACCTTTTTAACATAAAATTTGCACTACTAAAAAAATATTTTTTATTGACCAACTTAAAAAGTACAAAATAATATCCTATTTATAAATCTTTTCAAGGCCTACATAACATCCTAAAGTCTTAGGAGCAAATAATTTATTATTGCATATATTCTTGATTTTTCTCAATAGAAAAAACAAAATAAAATTTAAGGCTTCCTAAAATATTTTAATTAACCAAATAAGTCGAGTAAAATGTCGCTAAAATAAATTAAATTACTTAACTATTCTTCAATGATCGTAAAAAGATCATTGGTTGTCCATGAGCTTACGATGAACCAAATCATGTTGCAATGCATACATTTGTGTCTTTTTTTTTTATTTTGTATTTTTTTTTAAATTTTTTTACTTCAAATTTGTGACCTTATTCTTAACTTTTATCTTGGTATTGCATTAGGTTTTTACCTAGTTCTCCCATCATCTCTACCTTATTATAACCTTAACATTTGATATTGAAAAGTAAAATGACTGCATTTTAGATCGTTTTGTGAAGCCTAATATCAGTCGCCAATTGTTAGAATCATTTGATAATATTTTTGCAGACATCTAAAAGGAATCTAATACTTACAAGAATTAATAACGAAATACTTATTTTATCAAGACTTCTATATCACGAACACGTGCGTTGCCAAAATAATAATAATAATAATAATAAAACTAAATAAAACTGTAAGCTGTTTGCATGATATAGGCACCATCCATGAGAAAAAACTTTCACTGAAAAAAAAAACTAATTTGTGCAATAAATAGTTTTAAAACTGATTCAATAATTATACATACAAACTTTCTTTTGTTTACCGAATAAACTGCAACATATGGAATACAAAGTATCAATTACCTCAACAGTTACATAGAGAAAAAGAAATATGTAGCGCGTCAAGCAGGAAAGAATGAAAATTCGATAACTTCTCGAGCTTTTTCTGACATTGGTTTTATTTGAACAGAAGATACTAAATGATTTCTTCCAGCGATAAATTAACAAAAGAATTATCTTTTTCTTGTAAAGCATCTCCCCAATATAACCAAAGATATACAAGGCATAATCCTACTGCTGAATTTTGAGAACAGGGAATGCTATAACATCCCTTATGCTTGCAGAATTAGTTAGAAGCATCACTAATCTATCAATTCCAAGTCCCTGAAAATTAGTCATTAACTGTTAGAGGAGAAATACATTTTAAAACATGCAAAAGAATGAAGTAATCTAAAAACAGAGATGCCTCCAACTCTGCAGATTTAAGCGGGAGAATAAGCAAACTAAAAAGAAAAAAAAAAAGTAAATTGTTCCATAACATGTGAGGCAAGCAAAGCTCTAGGCATTTATAATTGCAGACTTTTAATCCTCTTCTACCCAATATGACTTATTTCTAAAAATTTAAATTAAAAAATCATTTAGCTTTGTATTAAGTAGATCAAAATAACTGCGACAGAAAATCCAGAAAATGCCATATTTTATTCATTATTTGTATCTTATAATGAAAATCTTAAAATCTCAGGTTAATTTTTGGAGCAATGCAGTAGTTGTCTTGCAATAACTTGGGCAAGCACAGCCTTTTGCGTATATCCTAATTTATACAAAATTGATTTCTACACCATTTTATCAAAAGATCGTATCCTTGCTAAAGAACAATCCACCATCAGAAGTAAAAACAAATTGAGGAAGTATCAGACGTCTACTTCCAGTTACCTGCTTTCGATTCCTCTTGTGTAGTATAACTAGTTCGGTTCAATATGTTATGCATATGCCACCATCCTTCTACATGTCAGTTAAATTGTCATCAATATAATTGGTTAGGTTAAGATCGCCAATATCCAGCATGCTTGCCCTTATCATGTTGTTAGTAGGTTTAGATTGTCTTAAAAAACTAACTATGGCCCCTCACAGAATAACTGGTCATAGGTTAAAATTAGAGATGTTTATTTAATAGAATACAAACCATGACCTTTGTTTAGTATCAGTCACGGGATCAATGCCACCTAGCCATTACACCCTCCTTGCCTCCCTCCCTTCGAAGCAATCTTTCATTCATTTCTTCTTAATTACTTTCTTTTATTTACTTCTGTGGCTCTTTATCTAATTCAGATTCTAGTCCTAACAAATCAGTTTATCTGAGTCCACCACAATATTCATAATGTAGAGATGGAGAAGAAGAATTTTTTGTACACAAGTTGGAAGGCCTACAGATGTTGGATCTGAGTACATGATTGTCCTCTATGATACTCTGACACTCATTCAAAAGTTATGCAATGTTAGACATGACATAGGTGTGTCTGAATAAAATTAATATTTAAATAAAATCAGACACACTGTCTAACACGTGTCCTAATATTTTATTATAAAACTATTTTAAGAAACATATTTTTAATATTTAAAATTATAACTTTTTAATAAAGCACATATTATTATTAAATAAAATTTCCTTTCTTATGTAGCCAACAAGCTCTCCCATTCCCCTACATATATCCCGATCTATCATCTAGCAATCCCGCATCGCGTTCAACTAGGGTTATCCATAGAGGACGTGATGACAAGAACACTAGATTCTCGTAATCGCTACAGTTCAAAGGATCATTAGCGATGAGGATCCCCAAAGTCGACAAGATCCTAGGACGACAAGACTTAGTAAATACATGAACATTCACGACTCTGATCTGCCAGACCTTCATCATTGTCGCACCAAGAACTCCAACGACGACGAGATTCACCCCTATTTCACTTTATACTCGTGTCCAAGTTTTCAAATAAGTGGTAATAGATATTGTAATTTTTCGCCCAACTTTTTTATTCTTACAACAACAAACCATTCCTTCCAAACTTACTAATTAGTTTTTGAGTTAAATATATTTTGAATGAATTGCAAAGAAAATGAACATATTAACTAATATATATTTTTAAATAACATGAATCATTTAATACAATACGTAAATACTAGGGCATTCCCTGGAAGTGACATGTTGGCCAAATACAATAAAAACTGTGCAAGAGTCACTGCACCAATTCCTAACAATATTAAATAAGCAAGGTTTCTCATATCATGGGCGATGTAGGCAAAGAAACTAGTCCATTAAATTAGAATTATGAAGAAAATTTGAAATATATGTTCACTTACAGGCAAAGTTATAGAATTATTAGAAATTATGATTTTATAAGAAGATAAATATTCTATATATTAAGAAAACTAAATGGGTCGAGAAAAAAGCTAATTTTTTTGATAATTTAGGATTTAAACTATGGCATCAGGTTTGAGTCCTACTAGAAATAATGCAAGTGAGATTATAGATAAAATTTTGGAGAATAATATTATAAATATTAATAGTTGTGCTCAAAATTAAAATTTTGAAATGATTTAAACAAATTAATAAAAAGGATACCTCTTGAACAAATAATTTTTATTAGAGATTTAAATGCACATATTGATAGAATGGTATAAAATTTTAAAAACATTTATGGCGGCTATGGGGTTTAGAGTGTTGTATTATAAAAATTAATAGTTGTGCTAAAAATTATCTTGTGCTTTTTCTTGCTCATGCTTCGAGGAGACTCCCTGTGACAAAGTGGAGACGAGGAAATCTAATAGCATATTGTTATGCCGGTCCAGCTTGGACCGGCTCAACCTGGACCGGCCCAGCCGGTCCAGTTCTACAGGAGGCGGACACAGGGCCGGGCGGAAGAGAGAGGGAGCCAGGGAGTGGGGTCCACTTGCAATTCAAACATGGGTTAAGTGTTTTTGGAGGGAGAAGGAAGGGTAGAGTAGTCCTTTTGCTTTTAATTTGAATTAGATTGTTTTAATAGGGAGTTATGAGGGGATTAGGGTATCATCTTGATTTTAAATGAGTTTCGTCTTCTAGGTTTTCTTGCTTGGGCTCTTGGCGTTGCCGGAGATTGTTGGAGAGTTGTTCTTCCTCTCGAATTGAAGAACATTGTATCTTGCTTTGGTTTTGTTTGTCTACTAGTGGAATACAATTGTTACTATTGTTTTCCCAACGTTTTCTCCCTAGTTTCTCAGATTTTCCATTGTTTGGTGGCTGTTTTCTATTGAAAACAGCGGAATAATTGTGTTTTGGCGAAGATCCGATAGGAATCACTTGGAATATTCAAGTGGTCTCTATCAAATTGGTATCAGAGCAAGATCCGGACGGTGGAGGGCTGTTTTTCCACTGTTTCGCTGCAGAATTTTGCAGATTTTGGGTGGTCGGAGGCTGTTTTCCCCTGAAAACAGCAGTTTTTGACTGTTTGGAGGGAGATTCTTGCTGTCCGGAAGTGTTTCCTTGCGGATCCGGAGGCATCTCGTTGGTTCCCATGGCATCTAAGCGGGTAGAAGTCTTGGAGACCGAGATGGGTCAACTTAAGGCGGATCTGGAAGAGAAGATGGCCACATTTAGTGAAAATGTGGAAGGGAAATTCATGGCTTTGGAGGAAATGATGAAGAAGTTGTTGGAGGGGCAAGCTCGGGCGGTGCCGGCGGAGGAAAGAGGAGAAGGTAGTGGGAGCAAGGGTAAAGAGAAGGCAAAGCCGGAAGGGGAAGAGGAGGTGGAACTGCTTGGTAGCAACGGAAGAATGCTGCATCGGGAGTCCATCAGGCGGGAAGAAAGAGAGGATGATTGGCGTCGTCGGAGGCCCGACCCAGTGGACCGGCCATGGGGGATCCATAACCACCATGGCGGGGCGCGAGGGGAAGATGGCTATCGACGGCCGAGGAGGGATGATGAGCCCCGATATGGAGAGAGAGGAACTTGGGAAGACCCCATTGCCTGGGACAGAGGAGGCCATGGGGGGAACAGAGCATACGGAATTGACACGAGGGCCAGGAAGCTGAAAATGCCAGTTTTCGAAGAGGGGAATGTGGATGAGTGGATCCACAAGGTGGAGAGGTATTTTGCAGTGAATGGCCTGATGGAGGAGGAGAGATTGATGGCAGCCAGTATGTGCTTGGAAGGGGCGGCTTTTGCCTGGTTCAAGTACATGGATAAGTGAGATCCGGTAAGGACTTGGAGGGATTTCAAGGAAGCTATCAGGGAGAGATTCAGGGGGAGCAGCCCATGGGAGATCTCCGAGCAGTTCTATGCCCTCACTCAGGAGGGGACAGTGGAGGAATACAGAAAGAAATTCGAGAGTCTGGTGGGCGACATGGAGGGCTTATCGAACAACACGTTGGGGGGGAACTTTATGAAGGGGCTCAAGCCAGAAATTAGGGATGCGGTGAAGGTCATGAGACCGAGAGACCTGAGGGAGGCAATGGAGTTGGCCCAGCTGGTGGAGAACCAGAAGACCAACGCTCGAAGTTGGCGGAACAACCACTCAGGAGGTCCCACCAGGACAACTACCACTTACTTGGCTCCAAAAGGGCCAAGCCCTAGTGTCCCTAGAGAGAGTGGAAAGGAGAAGAGCGGGGTGACTAGAACTGCAGGAAGCTTCAAGAAATTGACTGAGGAGGAGATGCAGGAGAAGAGGGCCAAGGGCCTTTGTTTCAGATGTGAGGAGAAGTTTGTTCCAGGGCACAGATGCAAGGATCGCGCTCTTCGGGCTCTCACCGTCTATATAGACGAGGCGCCTGAAGAGGGTGATGATTCTGATGAGGAGCAGACTGATCCACAGTTGGAGGTAGCCGAGGTCTCCCTCAATTCTGTGATGGGATTCACTCCTAGCCATACGATGAAGGTGAAGGGGGAGATTCGGGGGAGAGAGGTTGTGGTTCTGATTGACAGTGGGGCAACCCACAATTTCATATCCACCCAGGTGGCGGAGGAGCTAGGGATGGAGCCTACTGAGACAGGCAGTTATGGGGTGATGATGGGGACAGGAAAGATTGAGTCCAGCACTGGGATCTGCAAGGGGGTGGAGATGAGGCTACAGGAGATCAGGGTGGTGGAGGATTTCCTACCCCTGAGATTGGGTAGCACGGATGTCATTTTGGGCATGAAATGGCTACAGACCTTGGGTGAAACCAAGGTGAACTGGGGAACCATGGTGATGGAACTGATGGTAGAAGGCAAGAGAGTGAAGCTGAAGGGGGAACCAGGATTGTCCAGAGCTGGAGTGTCACTCCGATCCATGGTGAAAATCATACAGGAGGAAGGAGGAGGATTCCTGGTGGAGTTGCAGAGCTTGGAGGAGCAGGAGGAGGGGGAGGGAAGACC